ATCACATGTTGGTGGTTGTGATGGAGAATCTGATTGTTTATTTAAAAACACAAACTCAGATGTTCAAGCATTTTTTACCTTTTCTGACTTTTTACAGATCGAACAATGAAGTGAGAAAATACTGCACAGATTCATTGAGAGTAAAACTCATGCTTTATACCCGAAGACTCAGAAACAACAGCAGCTCCTATTTTAGCATTCTGAAGCAAAGAGGGATTTTAACTTGTTATCAAGCACCACTGGACCTCAGGCTTCAGACACGCAGACGCACAAGACCTGTGGCAGCAGGGACCAGGACCCCGAGGGACCAGGACCCCGAGGGACCAGGACCCCGAGGGACCAGGACCCCAAGGGACCAGGACCCAGAAAAACTCTTCATATTTGATTTACATAAAATCTATAAAAACTAAAGTGAGGATAAAGCTCCAGCAGAACAGGGGACATGTAAACCATGTGACGTCTACGACCTCAACGATAAATTAAAAAATAAAAGCATCCCTCACAGTTGAAACAGATCTACAGCATAGACTAAAATAAAGATGGACAACATGACAACTCCCTAAAAGTGAAGCCAAATCATCTCCATCGCCCCCTGGTGTCTGCCTGCAGCATATGTCATAAACTTCCACCGTGTTAGCAGATGGGACATGAACCAAACTGAAACATCAGAGCAGAGGTTGAATAAATGTTTCAGGTGTCAGACGTCATCACCACTAGATCGTTCCTATTGGAGATATGTAGTGTCGTCCATCTTTATTTACAGTCTTTGATCTACAGGCACAATGTTCTGGAAAAATCTGCTTCATAGTTTATAATCACTGCTCGTTGTAACTGTTTCGGCCAAAAGTATGTGGACACGAGCGCAGCCCGAGAAAAAACACTCGATTCTTCCAAATACATTTCTGTGGGTTTAAAAGAGAACGTTGAAAACCTTTAACCTTAAAGTTACTGGATTTGTGAAGACAGGAGCTTTCGCCTGCTTTTCAAACAGAACATGGGTGAAGACGTCATGTCTACAACACGCTCCAAAACATACATGTCTGACAGGTCACATGACTAACAACACGTTAGACGCACTGAGCCTGATGACGACATCGCTCTGCTTCATTTTAAAATGCGACAGACGTGAAACCAGTGTTTTCAAATATCACAAAACCTTTTCCCATTCTTTGAACCTCGGGGGGCGTCCACATACTTTGGGCCAAATAGATAATTTAATTAAAACAAACTAAGGAGGAAAAATATTTTCACCCATAAATGTTCCCAAACAAACCTTTAAAATAAAATGAATTAAAACCCTGATCAGTTTAATCCACGTGACAAAACTCTTCATATTAAAAGAATCACGTGACAGACGATACAGGAAGCAGCTGAGGTCGGTCGTCTCTTGGCTCATTCATTCATTACGTCTCATCGTGTCTCCGACACACTTCACGCTCAGAGTCATAGTGTCGCCACGGAAATAAGGCAAAAAACAAACAACATGACGCTGTCTCCGTCTGCGCTCGCCGCCGCTGCAGGTCTGTTCCTTCAGAGACGCAGACAAAACAAACTGCGGCTGCTGGTATTTAGCAATTAATACTTAAAATAGAAAAACACACTTTTTAATTTATAAAAATGCTCAAAAACTTTTAGCACTGAACCATTGTCCTCAGCACCGTTTGGATTCGTTAGAAAATTATAAACTCTTTAAAAAGCACAAAGCGTCTCAATGGAACTCCACAAACTCCTCCAGCGTCTTGGGGATCTGGTTGCGGTACGTGATCTGGTGCTGCCGGACGGCGCGCGCCGCCAGGCACTTCAGGCTCATCTTCATCTGTGTTTTCAGAAGGATCTCCGAGACGCCCGTGGTGCTCTTGTCCAGCGGCGTCTTCTTCTGCTTGTTGGTCATGTCCGTGTGAGCGCCAGCCTCCACCAGGTTGATGATAATGGCGTGAAGAGTGAGGAAGTCGCTGATTGGCCGGTTGTACTGGACAATGACATGCAGTGGGGTGTTGCCCTCATGGTCAATGGCGTTGACCTGTGCGCCACAGTCCAGCAGCAGCTTGGTGACCTGGGCGTTGGGGAAGCTGCAGACGTCGTTGGTGTGGAAGTCATCCACCGGCGTGGTGGAGCTGATGGCCAGGTGCAGCAGCGAGGAGCCCTCTCGTGACCGCGGGTCCAGCTGGATCAGGTCGTAGATGTGCTTGTTGATTACGGCGCGCTCGTTGTCGCTGCAGCTGGTTTTGGTGGAGATGCAGGTCAGGTACAGGAAGGTAAAAACATTTGACTCGTAATTGTCCAGGGTCTGCGGCAGCTCAGACTCTGCCGCCGCTTCCACTCGAGTCATGCTGCGCTGAATCTCCAACACGCTGCAGCTCAACACCTGCTCCACGGCCGAGGCAGTAACCTGCTCCTTCAGGTGCACCATCTGGGAGAAGACCTGGGCGAAGCGCAGCAGGTCCTTGTGCGTGTTGCGGTTTCCTTTCTGCCGCAGGCGAAGCGCATGAAGCCACAGTTT